ATCCAAGCCCAATTACCTTGTTTCAACACACCAAAACTCCCTCGGAGTAGACATCTCAGAGCAGTTCTTGGACTGAAAGGGGCAGGTTGCCATGCCACTAAACCACTGTTTATTTGTTGAGGTTTTCATCTCTTAAAGGCTTGAGCTTCATCTGAACTTCCTATTTCCCCAAGCCTTGAATGTGAGCAGAAAAGCCACTTGTGTCCTAGCTACAAGTCCCAGCAAGTTAAGAGCCCATAAATTGCTTTAATCAAGTTTTCTGCTTCTTTCATATCACAAGGAAGGAGAAACTGCACCTGTTGACTTAAAAGCTTTAACCAGAACCAATCCACACAGCAAAGGGGAACAGAAGAGGAGGAAAAGCTTCCAGCACATCACACATGGCTGAAGTTGAAAGATTACTTTGTGCCAGAACCAAGTGGATAATGTCAAAGGGTTTGACCTCCCTGCACAGAGGAAGGAGATGCAGTTAAAGCTCTGACCTCAGCTCACCCTTTGAGGGGCAAGGAAACCAGGCAGAGCTATGTGAGCTGTGCTGAGGTTGTTAGACCCTTGAGAACCATTTAAGGTTAGATAGATAATAAATAGAGATATATTTATCTCTATGTGATGTTTCTATAGCAATCAATATATTGATCTATATGTTGTAAATCTATGGATAAATATATTGATCTATATAATAGAACCACAGAATTTAAGGGTTGGAATGGACCTTACATATCATCCAGTCCCAACCCCCTGCCCTGGGCAGGGACACCTCCCACCAGCCCAGGCTGCTCCAAGCCCCATCCAACCTGGAACTGAATGTTTCCAACCATTTGGATCTTTTCAACTGGTTTTTAATGTCCCATAGGTTTAAAAAATAAATCAAATAAACCTATTTTTCCTGTCTGGGCAAAACAAAGAATCACTATAATCACTTTTAGCTTCTGCTTCTTCTTTACCATTTTATAGCCTTAAAACCTCTGAGTTTGCTGCTTTTTTTCCCCTCCTCAATTTTCTAACCTTATATGTTAAATTTCAGCTGGGATCACATTTTTCAGCCCCAAATCTAAAATCCCTGGAAAGTAAGAGGCTAGAATAAAATTGCTGACAGATCTTGAAGTGCAGGAGCAGCATCAGCCCCTGACAGCAAAGCTAGAGAGATCATTTCAAGCTCAGCTCTTTGAATTAGCACAAACCCCAGTGAGTGAGGGATTATTTTGTTCCGAGCCTTTTGTCTTCCTCCAGGTGCAAATGCTCTTTGTTTAAGGGACATTTCAAGGTCTTTCCTATCGTTATCTTGTTCCACCACCAACCAAAACAAGTTTATCAGAGTTCCTATGGACTGGGGGAACACAGGAGAGGAGTCAAGGGCAGCATTTCAACCTAGGGAATTCAAACAGCTTTGCTCCTTCTCTGTCTCTATCCTGCCCCGAGTTGTGATGTTCCCACTTTTAGATCAGCTTAATAAGCTGTAGGTGAACAGAGTGAGAAGTGTTTCAGAGAGGCTTCCACGGGATTGGAATTCTGCACTGCAAAATGCAGTTTTTAGGTGTTTTCAAGGCTCCAGGTTGATGTGCTCAGAGCTCCTTGCCACAACACATCCAGAGTCTCTCAGCAGCAGGGATTTGCCAACTCCTCCCATTGTGCAATGCTCTAAATGCTGATGTATTTATGTTCCCTTTGGACATGTCTGTGTCTCCCTGCCTTTATCCTGCGCGTGGTGCTCCAACAGTGGTTCATCCTTTCTCCACTTGATTACCCACCTGACCTCTCCAGCCCAAAATAGGTCTGGATCATCTTTAAGGTCCTTCCAACTCATTCTCTGATCCTATGACTATGATTCTATGATCTAAAAATGTGCATACCAGAACTAAATATCCTGCAGTTACAGTTATTATATATTCTATAGAATGTCCATTTTTTCTTGGCTCTGACCCTCAGCATCGTTTGTCACTCAGCCCTTCCATCCCATGTGCGAATAGGCTCCTTCCACCAGGAGACAACTCTTCCATTTGATTTGTGAAGTTTCTAATGCCATTTGGGTCCTTTCCAAACACTACTTTTCACAGGGCTAAAATGTTGTTATTGTGACTCCTTATCTCTGCCAAGACTTTGCTTACCTCCAGGGCTGGTGACACATGAGAGAGGTGGTGATACCCACCAGCAGCTCAGGAATGAGGCTGAGGAATCCCAATCCTGAGGAATTCCCTGTGTCTGGCATTAGAAATCTCCTCACTTCCCTAGGAGGAGATTTCCCTGGAGGCAGGTCACCAGTTTGGCCAGTTTGAGATAAGTGAGATATCAAGGCCTTCATTTACAGGAGGGGTTGGCAGAGCCACATTTATCCAAAAGAGAGACAGAGAGGAAGGATAATTACAGTCAATAACGACAGCAAAGAGGTTCAGAGGGAGGGAACAGAACCATTTGTGCTGAAGGACAGTGTTGGCTCCAGAACAGGTTGTTATCCTGTGAACTGACCATCAATGAATTAAGGCTGGAAATTAGAAGATGGGTCCTAAGTATGAGAGCAGCCCTGGATGTCTGCCAGGAGCCTCTCAGAGACACAGGGATGGAATTTGAGATGGCTCTGACTCTGTTATGGAAGTGCAGAGCGCGAGGCGTGGCTGGGCTCGAAGGCCCAGAAGATGCTCTCCAGGCTTATGTTTTCCTCCATTCAATCAATTTTCTGCACCAGTGGCTTCATCGAGGTGGAACAAGGGACATGTAATTCTCCAGGAGAGGCCGGAGAGGATCTTCTCCCAAGAGTCCAGAGGAGAAATGTTAATGTGATCAGAGGCTGGAGCACCTCTGCCCTGGAGCCAGGCTGAGGGAGTTAGAGCTGTTCAGCCTGGAGAGGAAAAGCTCCAGGGAGACCTTAGAGACCCTTCCAGGGCCTCAAGTTGCTCCAAGAATGCTGAGAGGGATGTGGAACAAGGGATGGAGAGACAGGACACAGGGAACGGCTTCCCACTGCCAGAGGGCAGGGACAGATGGATATTGGGCAGGAATTGCTCCGTGGGGAGGTGCTGAGACACAGGTTGCCCAGAGCAGCTGTGGCTGCTCCGTCCCTAGGAGTGTTCCAGGCCAGGTTGGATGGGGCTTGGAGCAGCCTGGGCTGGTGGGAGATGTCCCTACCCATGGCAAGCGTGGCACTAGATGATCCTTAAGTCCTTCCAACCCAAACCATTCCATGACTCTATGATTCTCAGCTCTTTGCTCTGTTGGGTCTCGGTGACAAGACAAAACCTTTGCCTGCAAATTCCCAGTCCACTCCTTACTAGAGGCATTGGGATATTGCCCAGGGACGTGGTGGAGTCACCATCCCTGGAGGTGTTTCAGAGGTGTCTGGATGTGGTTTATGGGTTCATGTTTAGGGGTTCCAGCAGTGACAGGTCAGTGGTTGGACTTGATGACCTTAGAGGTCTCCTCCAACCTTGATGGTTCTATGATTCCCACATGGACTACCAGGTCTTCAGCAGTTCCCTGTATCCATCCCACCACCAGTGCAGGCTCAGCCATCTCTCCAACCTTGGAATCCCTCCTGCTTCCCCCTCTGTGCCCCTCAAGGATTCATTCCCTTCAGCCACACATTTGTTCCTCCTTCATCTGTTCCCACTCAGGGCAGAGTGAGGTGAAGAAGACAATTCCTCAACACCTGCCTGTGTTGCAGGCACCATTCCCATCTCCAGGCTGTTATCCTTGCCCAGGAGCCTCCCCTGGC